TTCCATTAAAAGTTTGTTTGCAACACGAAATTTCATCTATAAGAAACACTTTCCCAGATATATACTATATATAAATATATAGTCTTGCGATGATATTAAATCGCGTATGCATTACAGATACAAATTGCAAAATTATCTTACTAAATAGACTATTAAAGTTTTTAGTACATTCCTTTTATTTTTAGTGTAGTATAAATTTCAATTTAAATATATAAATTAAACAAAAAAAAATAATAATATGGCATATGTTAAAATTAAATTTTCACACATGTATATCTAAAAGCGGCAAAAAAAAAATTGTAAAACAAAAATCCTGTATCTAAATTAAAGATATATAAATGTATTTTAATAAATTTTTAAATACTTGTCTTGATTTCAATATAATTGCGGATAATTTGAAAACAGGTATGACTTAAAATTTCAAAGATAAGCGCAGAATTGTAAATCCTAATATAGGTTACAAGTCCTATTAATTTGAATCTAATAAAATTATTCCATATCTTTATTATAACACCTTATCTTTATTACATAAAGTCCAGTGCTTTATTAATTAGGCCTACTATTTGATCTATATAAATTTTAATTGATTCTACTATAAAAAAAAAAAGATGAATAATTCATGTAAAGCTGTTTCTTCATTTTCTATTTTCGATAAACATGAATATTATTTATATTTTTATATTTTATTATATTATTATTATTATTATATTTGGAGTAATATTATACCGAAGTGATTCCTCTTTTGTAATTCTTTTTGATTTTTGGTCTAAGCACTCAAGAAATGTATCAAAAAAAATTTTTATTTAGTATTTGAGTAAGCTTAAAACCTGTGTTTTACGTTTAAAAAAATTCAGTAGCACTAAACTTTACCGTTTTCAAAAAATATCTCATTAAAAAAAAATCTATTATTTGAGTGCTCTGGGTAATATTACTCCTTAATTCAATAATCCCCCACAGCACCGAAACTTTCCTAAAGATTTCCTAAAGATTTATTTGAAACGTTCGGAATATTTAATTGCAATGTTTAGTGAAAATTGTATGTAAAGATTTAAATGTCCCTCTTGAATAAATGTTTAGCTGAATCCGAATTCGAGGTCAGATTAAAAAAATTAGAAATGGCGGACCCAATATGGCGGAAAAAATTTAAAATTGATTCAATTCGTTAAAAATTCGGTACTAGGGGGGTGTTCGGGGTCGCTGAATGCAAATTTGACCTCAAATTTGGATTCAGAGACCCAAAAAACTCACGAGTACCAAATTTTTAAACGAATCGAATCAACTTTAAATTTTTTCCGCCATATTGGGTCCGCCATTTTGAATTTTTTAAATCTGACCTTAAATTTGTATTTAGCGACCCCAAAAACTTTTAATACGATGATATGATATTTTTTTGGAAACTTTTTTTTTCGACCGTATTGGGCCCACAAACGATTTTTCTATTAGACTGCGAAGGGGTTAAACCTAAATTTTGTTTAATTCAAAGTTAGTATATTCTTGATACGTAGTTAAATATATAAAATTTAAGTAAAAAATAATTGATCTAATAAATTATTTTATTTGTATTATATAATGCACTTTGGATAAAAATACAGTAAATTTAATATACATACAGAATAGGGTAAATGCACTAATTGCGGCGAGATTCGAGTCAAAACACCTTTGAAATAGAAAATTCGACATTTCTATTGTATAAACTCAATTTAAGACTTATTAAACTTAAAGCTTATGTTATTAAGATATTAAAAAAAAAATTTTAACTCTATAAAAATCGATTATTTAAACAAATATGAGAAATTAAAACTAATACCGTAATTTTCTATTGCGGCGAGTTTGTATCAGTTTCGGTGTATCAATTTCGGTGACCAAAATTACGTGTATTTTGAAGATAATTTGCCCGCCGAAATTGAAGCCAATGGAAATCTTAAAAATGTTTCAATTGCGGCGCGGAAAAAAATTTGATCTCAAATAATTAAATTAATAATTGTTTAAATGTGCATCTTTATAAGTATTTGTATCAAAAAAAGATTGAAATAATTTTTTTTAATCATTTGGCAACAGTTATATTAAATATAATAGTAATAATAGTTATTTTTTATGAACGCGCCGTAATTGGTGCACTCGCCGTAATTAGTACACTTACCCTTTACTTTAATCTAAAATTATTTCCAAACGATAAAGGAAAACAATTTTTTAGGTTAAGAATCATGTCAAAAGGTTGGTTTCCATTGTCCCCACTTGCCATTTGTCATAATTTTCATCAACTACCGCACTCTGCTCTAGTGAAAATTTAGTGACTTTATTGTTAAAATTAAAAGTTACTATAAAGTTAATAAATTTTTACTAGATCAGGGTGCGGTAGTTGAGGAGAATTATGACAAATCGCAAGTGGGGACAATGGAAACCAACCAAAATCTTTTTGACAATAAATAGAAAATAATCAGTGGAACATCTTAATTGTGAGACTTTGTATGGAATGGTAGCTTTTTTCGATACATAACGGGAACAAGAATCAAGAGAAAAGTAGGGTGAAACAGGTGTCAAAAATATGAAAATATGTCATATTTCAAACGTTCTACTAGAATTCCAGTAGAAATTTACATGCATCCATTATAAACTAACCCTTAATTTTAAATCAAACATAATTTTCATTCAAAGAAATAAATTTATTAATAAAATTAAATAAATTTATTTAACTGAAAGTAATAATTAAAAATTAAAAATATTCATTGTGTATATATAATTTTTAATAGATTCGAAAGTAAAAAAATGATAAATGAGTCTTTTTGAAATTTTTTCGTTAAATTTTAATCAATGATATCCGTTTTATTTCCTATTTCAGTGGGCGGTAAATATAAATATAAATATATATATATATATTTCTTTTCTTTTGTGGTACCCAAAGAGCGTTATAGTCGTTATAACAGTGAAACGCTCGGATGAGCGCGAATGATCTGTCTATATAGTAATTTACGGAAGTGGCTTTGATATTCAAGCAGAAACATAGTGATTATTCGAGTTACTTCCTAATTACAAAGTGATTTACATAAGAAGGTTCAATGCTTTGATTCCAAATAAGATCAAGCGATCGTATCAATTTCGAATGAACTAACGAAGGACGACTATTAAAGTTCATGGGCACTGGTTCTCGAATAATAATAATAATAATAGAAATCTTAATAGTATCAATTCATATTCTTAATATACATATCTATATATATATATACGCCACTTTCTACAACAATTTTTTCTTTTATAACCTCATTACACGTATTTATGTATTAATTATTTTTGTTATTTAATAATATTAATATTTATAAAAAAACAATTTTATAATTAATTAGCATCATTATTTTATTAAAATCGATCATTATACAGATAGAAATTAATAATATCAATAATAAATTGAAAAATTATTTAAAAGTCGGAAATAGGTTTAGATTATTAAAACTCGGCAGCAGAAATATACCAAAAGGAGGTTTTATTATAAACGCAATATCTATTTCGTCATAATTATTATTATTATATTATTATTACTATTATTATTTATATTATTATTTATATTATTATTTATATTATTATTTATATTATTATTTAAATAAAAAAGTAAATAATATATTTAATAAATTATTTTTTTCGATTTTTGGAAGACATAATATAAAAGGTATAAAAGAAAAAACACTCTCTTTCACTAAATTTACTGAACATTGAACTAAATAATATAATATTGAATCTTTTACGTACGAGAAATATTATTATTGAAGAGAGGTGAAAATAAACGAAAACATTCGGACAATTAGTTTTATGATTTTTCTATCAAAAATATATGAGGCAAAATTCCTGAAGTGATCCAACTTTAAAATTGAAGGTTTTCGGATCGGACTGAAATTTGCACAAACTTTAGTACTATATTATTAAGTTTTATGCAAAACTGTAGAGGGGGGAGGAGGAGGTTCCAGTTTTTCATCAAATGTGAACAGTGGATTTTTTAAAAAATTGTAACTTCTAAATGGATGAAAAAAATTTTGACCTATATGTTTTCGAAAGATGTTTTTGTGCACTTTCGAATGGTGAAAAATCCAAAAGTATTTTTCATTTTCAAAAAAGGGCTAAATTTTGAATTAAAAAAAAAAAAATATTCACCATTCGAAAGAGCACAAAAAAATCTTTCAAAAACTTATAGGTCAAAAATTTTTTTCATTCATTTTGTTTTCATAGTACTAAAGTTTGTGCAAATTTCAGTCCGGTGCGAAAACCTTCAATTTTAAAGTTGGATCACTTCAGGAATTTTGCCTCATATAAAATATAAATACTAAACAAATAATACAACAAAAAAAAAATAATAAAAATAAAATCCTATTAAAAGCTATAAAACAAAATATTTAAAGCATATACGTTGTCAAATATAATAATTAAACCCATACGTTGGAGAAATTTAGAATTTGTACTTAAAACTAAAAAATAAACATTAAACAAAAAATAATAAAAATAAATGAAATGATAATCAAAACATAAAGTAAATTGAAAATATAAATAAAAGGTTATGTTAATTTATCAGACATTTAAATAAATAATTGCAGGTATATAAAATGTAAATAATTAATAAATATGTTAATAAAAACATAAAATAAATTGTAAAGAAATTAAAAGAACATACAGATAAAATAATAAATTATTGAAAAATTTTAAAATAGGGAAATAAATTTCAAAAAAATGAAAATTTAAAAAAAATATATAAATAAAAAAACAATAAAATATTATAAAATAAAATAAATGAAAATAATTTTACGTACCAACAAATTAAATAATTTACATTTTTAGAAATATAAATAGAAACAAATCAAATAAATAAAAATAAAATGGTTTAAAAATAAAATTAATAATGCAATTAAAATAGGTATTTACAAATATTAATTAATCACAGTTTTTACAATTTGCAAAGTCAAAATTAAAACTAATATAAAATAAATATTTAATTTAAATAAAAAAATTAATAAACTCACCCCGTAGCATCGTGTGAACAGTTGAACGACCACGAATAGGAGGAAAGTGACGCGAATCATCTTGTGAAGAAAAATTCCTGATTGGCTGCGCCACATCGCTGAAAAACGAAAAATAAAATTTATACATTCAATTATTTTTTTCTTTTTCAAACAACAATTATACATAAATAAATGGGAAATAAATAATAATTATGTATAAAAAAAAAAATTGTAAATAAATTCCGTTGGATTTTATAAAAACGTGTCATAAATGGGAAATAATTACTATTTAAAGTGTCACTTTTAATAGCGCAGTAATTAGAAATAACAGTGCTTTTATTTGAATGAATTTTCTTTTTTATCCATTTTTTTTTTTTTTTTTTTTTTTTTTTTGCATAAATGGTAGAAAAATACATAAATAAACGTTAAAAACCAACCTTCATTGACACTTCATGAATATTCTGAAACACGGGAATTATGTTCGCGGAACTATAAAGCAAATTAAGTGCGTGCGCGCACACACAGACATACATATACTGGCAAAGATTGCGGAAGGAAAGTTTATAGCAATGAATTAAAACTTCTAACGCGCCTGAAAACGTTAGAGTTGAGAGCTCACAATGTGAACGAACAAGAGCAATTAATTTGAATCATATGTGAAGTTGGCTAACATCTTTACTTTTCATCACTTAGTATTTTTTAACTGTTAATTACACCTTGATAAATTTACGCAGTATAGATATATAAATTTTGGCCATTTAAATAATTTTATTTTAGTCAGTATAATAAACTTTTATTTAGTTTTTTTTTTTTTTTTTTTTTTTTAATTTATATACCTATAGGAAATTAATTATTATTATTTCATCAGGAATATAAAAGAATAATTATAATAATTTATTTCGTCAGAAATATGAATTATTTCATCAGAAATCAATAAATTATTTGAAAAACAAAAATTTATCCCTAAATCATATTAATAATAATAGTTGCTTATGACAAATAAAAAAAAATATTTTCATCATTCGGAAATAAAATTAATTTCCTATTAACTGCGCACATTTATGATAATTTTATAAACAATAAAATATTTAACCTATAGACTTGGATGTGAAATCAATTAAAAAAAAAATTTTTATTACTGAATTATAATAATTATTCATATAAAAACAATCATAAAAATTTCCTGTTAATGAATGATAATATTATTTTCAAATAGAAAGATTCGTGTTCTAAAAAATTTAAACAATTTTCATTGTTAATTTTTTTTTTTTGTTAAATTAATGTCTCTGCAATTTTTTTTTTTATAAATTTTGAAAACTGGAAAAAATTGAAAAAATATGTGCCTTAAGTTAATTAGTTTCTGTATTTAAAAATATATTAATAATTTTTTAAATGTTTAATTTACTTTTAAATTTTTCATTGACGTAGTAATTTAAAAAAAAAAAAAAATAATAGTCCAAAAAAATAATTTTTGTTCATTTGAACTTTCAGAACTTCAGGTACATTAAATATTTACTTATTGAATGAAACTAATCTAGCGTAAATTTTCAATGGCATAAAAAAATATTTTTTAATTAAAAATTAATTTCATTTTTTATAAAAAATTTTAAATATTAAAATACATTGAAAAAATTGTGTTTAAATTTTTTTTTTCAAAAAAAGATATTTGTATGAATAAATTAATTATTGTCATCATCGTCATCATGATCTCTATCACAATAATTAATTATAATAATACTTAGGTGCTTATAATATAACTAATATAATAATGTAGTAATTGGTTTTAATTAATTATAATTACTACACTACATTATTAGTGTATTAAAGAAAAATCTAATGCAATAAAATAAATCATATGATAAATAAGATAAATAATATAAATAATATAAATAATAATAAATAATATAAATAATAATAAATAATATAAATAATAATAAATAATATAAATATTATTACACTATTATGAATATTAATATTAATATTATATTACTATGGATAAATAATGAAATAAATATTTATTTATAAATTAGTGATAAAAGAATCATCGAGAATATTTTTCAGCATTGTATATAATCCGGGGTTTCCCCAGTAATAATACAATGCTAACGAAGTGTGCCAACTGCGTAAAAATAAATTTTGTTGGAAACAGCTTCTCTGTGGTTAATGGCTCGAAATTTAAAATAGGTGTCGAAATAACATTCATAATTAAATAATACAAAAAAATAATACAATAAACTAATAAAAATAATAATAACAATAATAATTTAATAATAATAATAATAATAATAATAATAATAATAATAAGAATAATAATTCCTATTTTATATTTTGTGTGTTCGATTCTGGTCTGCTTGTCTTTTTACAATTTTATACGTTGATATTCATTCTATTTATTTAATTTTTTTTTTATTTTATTCGTTGACTTTTTTTTATTTATTAAAAAAATTTAAAGTTAAAATTTTTTTAAACAATTTATGCAGAATATCTTCAAGTAAAGGAACAAAGTCGCAGTATAATAACATAATAATAATAATTTTAGTAATAACAACAATAATAACAATAAAATTGTATTACCATAGTATTGTAAAATAATTAATTTTTTAAATAATTTACTGATGAATTAAATAACTTATCGAATTAATTGATTTAATATAATTAAATAATTTAAAAAAAAAAATATTTAAGAATATACTTATTTAAACTTTTAAATAAACATTTGTAAATTTAACGGATTTTGAAAAAGGAGACGAATACACCAAAAATTGAAGGTTATTTTTATTTTAGTTTTACGTAAAAGTACTTTTTTAATTATATAAAATTAAAATCAATTTTTATTTATTTATTTAATCACAATATATACGGGCTTACAAGAAAAAAGAATAGAAATGCCCTTTAGTGCAAAAGCACTTAGTAATTTAAGAATATTATTATGAGTATAATTACAAAATAACCAAATCATGTAGGTGACTTGCAAACTAATACAAAATTAATTTTCGCAAACACAAATTCTATTTGTGTTGTACTGTTGCCTAAGTAGTTTGACTTGTTGAATTGGATTCTGACCAATCTCTGATTTCTCAACCCCTTTGAAGGAACAATAACAATCGACCAATCTGTTAATTATTTAAAACAAAAATAATAATAGGCCCAGAAAAATAATTCTAGAAGAGAATTTTTGAATCATGAGTAATATCGTTGAATATTTTTTATGTATTGAAGACTTAAATTCTAACATCAAAATGGTTTGTATTAAAATTTAATATCTATTTTATTCACTTCGTAACTATCATAAAACATAATTTATAATTTTTTGCTTAAGACCACCCAGGTAGAAAAATTAACATTACTAACGTTACTAATATTACTAACGTTACTAATAATATTACTAACGTTACTAATGTTTCTAATTCTCATTCGCACTTCCATTCCCACTTCCACTCTTTCTAATTCTCATTTCCACTTTCACTTTTTTATTTTCATAACCACTTCCACTTTTTCTAATTTTTATTCCCACTTTCCTTTTTCTAATTTTCATTCCCACTTCTACTCCCATTTTTTCCACTTCTAATTTTCATTAGCTGTTGCCATTTCGACTAAAACTCTTTCTAATTTCCATTTACACAACCATTTCCACTTTTTTTAATTACCATGGATGGAAATTAGAAAAAGTGAAAGTGATAATGAAAATTTAAAAAATTAGGAATGGAAGTGGGAGTGAAAATATAAAAAACTTGTAATGAAAATAAAAAAGTGGAAGATGAAATGGGAATGAAAATTGGAACAAGTGGAAGTGAAAGTGTGAATGAGAATTAGAAAAAGTGGTAGTGGCAATGAATATAAAAAACTGGAAGTGGAAATAGGAATGGGAATGAAAATTAGAAAAAGTGGAAGTTGCAATGAATATAAAAAAGTGGAAGTGGAAATGGGAATGAAAATTAGAAAAAGTGGAAGTGAAGTGGGAATGAGAATTAGAAAGAGTAGAAGTGAGAATGGAAGTGCGAATGAGAATTAGAAAAAGTATAAGTGGAAATGGGAATGAAAATTATAAAAAGTTTAAGTGGAAGTGAAAGTGGTAATGGGAAAGTAGTGGCAAAATGGTTGTTTCAGTGTAATTTTCATTTTATTATAATTATTAATATTATTCATATTATTAGTCAAATACAGTGTCAGGCTGTAGTTTTATATATGAATTTTCCATTTTCACATAGAAAAAGAACAATTTTTATTTTCTATTTAAAAAAAGGCTGTCGCAAATTTGTCAATAATTACGTATATTTTCATGTTTGTTTACATTTGACGAGTTGCACCTGGCCTTAAGTTTCCTTTTTTCAAAGCATATCACAAATTATTATTTAAAATATGGCAAATAGGTGAATTTTTTTTCTACTCTAAAAATAAATTCTCAAATCCAAGGACATGATTAAAATCAGTTTTTAATCACGTTTCCTGTCTCAATCCAACATCCGTCGGTCAATCACATTGCAACGTGTGTTGATTATTGATTAAGTTACAATTGTTTTTTTTTTTTTTTTTTTTTTAAACAAAGTGTATAAAGATAATAATTTCTTCGTTTTTCAACCGTTTATCAGATGACCGTAAATTTTAGTATTATGTCTGAATTTGAAATTGTTTTATCAGATAACTATTACTTATAAATATATATTCAGTATTAGAATGAATAACAGATACATAGGTATATACAGAAGCATCATGGGGGATTTTGCAATATATAAGTAATTAGTATCGACAGTTGGCGTTAACTGCAATGGTATACACGTTATATATATTGTTGTGACTGGAGTGCTCTTCGTGCAGATAATCGAAAGTCATTCATCGCCATTAACTGTGACTTTATGAGCTTCTCCAAGAATAATACCAGGAACCAACTATTGTTGTTTTACAATCAGCTAAGCGTAATCTTACATATTTTTTTTTATTCATTCGAGAGTTTCTTCATTAAAATTTTCTTTTTTGCAATTTGTTGTTACAAAATTTTTTTTTATTGTTTAAAGGAAAAATATATAATATAGATGTAAATATAACGCTCGTTAAGATGACGAAGAAAATGTCTCACTTTCTTTTACTATTAAAGATTCTCAGGAGAGATGATGTTGTTCAT